TTATGAATTTATAAAAATAAGCAACAAATTGAAATGTAGTCGCCCGTTGGCTTAGCAGTAACCTTCGTGGCTTATAAAGCAAAAACTTGAGGATCGAACCATGAGTCGGACACAGCGCTGAGGGCCCATTGTGTAGCCACTGATGTGTAATTTGCGACACAGAATTCCACAATTGCTGCAACAACATTAAACAGTTAATATGTTACTAATTATGATTTATTGATGTATACATATCTAACCCGTTATTAAAAGATTTTTTATGTTTGTGGGCAAAAACATTATGATTATATTTTAGCTCAGTTTCTTTGTTGACTCTTACAGACACAATCCCATGTCTTTGGCCCATGTGTTTAGGCGCAAGCGCAGTTCAATTTCTATAAACTCACTCAGGTGTTGGAGGCTTGGAAGTTGGATTGTATTATTTGTTGTTGGTGGGAATCTTGGGGAATGGCAGGACATCAGTCGGCGTTGCTCTTACGTAAGCAGTTAACCGGTAAGTCTTTCCTTATAAACATGTTTTTAGTTTTTATAATAATCTAATAAAGATTAGGTAATGCTATTTTGCTGAATTTGAGCATAAAGAAATGATCTACGTGATTTACTTCTAGCACGTTACACTAGTACTAGTTGTAGCTGGTTATCCTGACAGAATCTGACGTCACGTGGTCTGGATTCGTGCGTGAGTGATCTGGCGTTAGGCTCTTTAGTCTATAATCAATGTTATTGTTTCTATACGTCTAGTATCAGTAGTACTAGTGAAACTAAAAACAGTAAACAAACTTATACTTCACTTTTTATTCCCTTTTATTATATACGAGCTAACTGTCTAAGCAAAAGAGTTGGTTGAGTAATTTTTCACGTGTTAATTAACTTGAATTTGGGAATTGTCTATTTCAATTTTCAGTATTTGTGTAAAAAAAGACAATTTGAAACATACGGACAACAAGAAACCATTTGGTCCTTCAACTTCAAGTCTCGTTTGCACACACACACACACACACACACATACCATTGAGAAAAGTAAAAATTGATATTCAACCTTTATTTTCAGGAAATCATTATTTGCCCTCTTAAAATTCTGTAAAGCACTTCACCACTACTGCTACTAGTACTATTGTAGTACTGTTAAAAAAACAAAAACTGTCTTTACTGGAGCCTAGCTTGTCTTTTTCTTATCTTAAACTCTGAATCCTTAGGAGATAGCACACACACAAAATTGAAAACCTTTGTCTTATTGGAACCCCCTCATTAATATTATAAGCAACATGGTCACCTCTTACCATTATCTTAACATATTCCTGTAGCCCTCTTCTGAATCATTTCTAATAAGTCAATATCTAGTGTTAGATAAGGAAGTCATAACTACACATTATTCCAAGTATGGCCTAATTAGAGCTTTGCATAGAGAGATGATAATCTGTTTTAACTTATAATTGATATGTTTATAAATATAACCTAAAATTCAATAATTTTACCCACTAGCAACAAAGCACTGTTTTATTGGTTTGAGTAACTTAATCACCTCTATGCCAATATATTTTTCTTTGGTCATGCTGTACCATGGTTTTCAATTTTTATTAAGTGTGTGATTCAAACTTTAATAACTCAAATGCATTATATTGCACTTATTATAATTGAAGGTCATATGTTAAATATTTGTCGAACCTCCTAATCATCAAAGTCATTCTGCAATACTTCAACAACCTCAAAACGGCTAGAAATACCCAAAAATTTAATGCCATCAACAAACTTTACTAATTATGCCCCTATCAATATCATTAATTTAAATAAGAGAAAGAAAAGGCCCAAGCACTGATATCTGGGACATTCTACTAGTAACATGGTATAGTTTGGATTCCATTAAATACAACTTTTTACTTTCTAATGTGCAACCACCATACAATCCAATTAACTGGTTCTTCTCCAAATAGTTTAATTATCTTAGCTAATCTTTTGTGTAGCACCTTATTAAAAGTTTTTCAAAATCTAAGTATGCTAAGTCTTGGCCACTCTTTCCATCATACAAATAATGAGTAACACTTTAAAAGAAACATAAATTAATAATGCAACATTTTGCTCTGATAAATCCATGTTGGCTTTCATTTATGATACTTCACTAAATGATGTTACCAAGGTTTATTTTTTTTATCAGATTATAAAATTTTAACCATTAGAAAAGTAAGATTAACTTATTTATGATTCCCAGGGCTAATTTTACCACCCCACTTTAAAAATTTGTGTAATGTTAATAACTCTCCAAACTTTGCATCTGCTATCTGTCAACCTACTAAAAATATGAGAGGTTTATATATCTTATGTTTGATTTTTTTTTAAAAACCCTGAGGAAAGCCTTGTCTGGTTCTGTTGCTTAATTTATTTTAATCTTTCAATGTTTTTACTTACAGCAAAGGATTAATATCTACATAATTCAAGTTAATTGTAGTATTTTCCATAGGATGCTCAGGTCAGGAGTATTGGTAATATCCTCTTGTAAAAACAGAAGAGAAAATTTATAAACTCGGCCATCTTGTAGTCTTAAAAAAAATTTTGCAATCAGCATTCTATAAGGGCTTACCCATTTTATCATTTTACTTACCTTTAACATACCGAAGAAATCTTTTTCTGGTAGTTTTAACGTTATCAGCCAGCTGTGTCTCGAAAGTTGTTTTGGATTCCCTGACTTTTTTTTTTTAATCAAATTCTTAGTGTTCTGATAGTTTTTAATCTTCCAACCTATTTGTCAATTTCAATTTCTTACTTTAGTGTGGCAGTTAGCCATTATCCCTTTTTAGGAATATAACTATCTTGAATTAAAAGCAATTTATTTTTGAAAAATTCTCAAACCTGGCCCATATCACATTTTATCTCAGTTAACTAATAGTGAATATCCTCTCATGATCTCTGAAAATTAGGAACTAAAATTTATTTTCATCTCAACATATGACAAAACATAACCCTATGAACTGATTATATTCAACTGTCTGATTAATCTCACCTGAGACCCGGATAGTTGGAATAATCAAAAATAGTAATAACCAGAAACCCCAATTTTGGTTAATTAATTATATTCATGAACCTGAAACTAATAGGTTAATCTGAACAACTTTGAATTAATCAAAAATAATGTTGACAAATCATAATGGCAGTATTTCAGTTACTTAGATAGTTGGAATTATCAAAAACTGTTCATAATTTTTGTGACTAATAGATTTAATTGTAATATCATTTAATTAGTTATTTTACTTGTCTCTAAATGATGTAATTGATTACATCTATTACTCAAGCAACCACTGTACTAGCCACTTCCGTGTGTCACCACATGATAATCAAGGCTAGATCTGAAATTGGAATAATTCCAAGAAACTGATAAGTCACCTTGAAATTTGACGAAAACATTCAAAAGACTAATTTTATTACATAAATTATTCTAGTTCTCTATTTATAATTTTTATAAATTTTCAGTCTTCAGAATAATACATAGTCCTGTACTAACATCTGTGTTGAGAATAGAGAACCTTTTCAAGAAGAAAGAGAGAATTAATAAACTTCATCGCTCTTATATTCTATTGATATGTTTGTCCTCGATGTGTATGAGATTATGTAGGATCAGTCATGTGTTAATTTAGAGCAGTGTATAAGAGAACATCTGAAGCCTAATGCTGTTAGTTCTTCAAACTATATACACCAAGAATGTGATGTAATTCCAACAGTAAGCAAGATATAAAGATCAAAGAAACCATAGTAATCAGAACCTGAAACGAAGGTTGCATAATTATTCATTAGAAATTAAAATATTTCTAAAAATATAACTTAACCTGTTTCTTAAAATAATTTTAAATATTATGCAAGTACTTTCAAATTAAAATGCCCTAGGGAAATACTAATTGTAATTCACTTGTGTACATAATGCCAGATCCTCCTCTTCATAATGTTAAGTACTTTTTAGAATTATTGTTCATTAACATACACCATGTATTATATACATCAATTATGCATTTTAATATAAACTACAGACTACCAAAATTCAAATTAATTAAATTAATAATAAGAATAATTTAATGTATTTATTTTCCTGTTTTACAGTAATTTGTAGGTATTGTTGAACTTCTAAACTCCAAGTTGTAGTGAAGGAAAACTACTCTTTTGAATTGCACATACAATTATATACTTTTAATATGTTAATATTATCCACAAAATAAGATAAACCCCAATTTTCTAAGGAAATTTTCTGTAGGCAGTAACTTTGTATAAGTTAATATTATCCCAAAATAAAAACCAATTTTCCAAACTTTCCATAAACAATGCATTGTATCTACACAACACCATTTTACATTTATTTTAAAATGTCACACTTGAACTTTTTCATTGAGTGTATTGATAGTTGCACTAGCAAAGAAAGTATTTGACTATTTGCAAAATGAACATTTTTGGGGCATTGGCCCCATAAATTTTCTTTGTCCATGGCATTGGCCCCATAAATTTCTTTGTCACATAGTTTGGCATGGCATTGGCCCCATAAATTTTCTTTGTCACATAGTGCATGCCTTCAATCATCACATTCACAGCTTGGGATTAAGATTCCACCATTATATAAATGACTAGCTTCTTTTAGCTCCATTTATGCAGGACTCCTCCAACCATACTCTTCTTTTTTTGGGGGGAGGCAGATGGTCTACATTGGCTAGTCAAGTTGGGGAAGTCTTATCTTACACCCACCCTGTATCAGGTTCATTTAGGTCTGTTCTACTTCCAGTCTCAGCAGGGAATTGCTTTCTTTGCTGCATTTGTGGACCATGGAAGATTTGGTTTCCACAGCTCTATCCTCTTTTTCTCTTCCTCCATGAGAAGTTCTCTATCTCTTGGGGATTTGGGCTTTGTTGGAGACCCTTTTCCCCTTGGGTCATTCTCACATGTTTTTTACTGTGGACTTTCCATGATCAATGGAATTCTCTTGGGATCCCTTTTCTGGAATGGCCTCTCAATCCTTGTGTTTTTTATGTCTTTGCTTTTATCTGGGCACTCCTCACTTGGATGCCTTTGCTGTTCATGACAGTGTCAAGCTTCCCTTATTTGGGTCTCCTGTTCTGTAAACATTGGCACTCACATTGGATTTGCTCAGTCAGGAGGTACCTGATGATGACAAAACCTTGTCGAAACGTTGTACATTTGCTGTTATGTTAAACTTACGAGGCCTGTGAGAAAAGTATCCGACCTTTGGCCGGGGAATAAAAACTGGCATACCTGGAGCGT